CGGGCTTCGCCCACCACCTTTCCCCGAAGGGGGCGCGGGGGGCTTGCGGAAGAAAACAGCGAAAAAAAAACGGATCCGCCCGTGCTTTTTTCCTTCCCTTGCGCCCGCCCCGTCGGCTCAGCGGTTGCTTTTGCTTTTCGTCTCCGGTCTTTCCCCGCCGCCTCGTCTGCGGTGGTGGGGGGCTTCGTACCCGGGGGCATTCCCGACCGCGACTGGCGGGGGCCGCGTCTGACAGCGAGGGCCCCTCAGGGCGGGGCGGCCCAAGAGGCAAGGGCCCGTCCGCTCGCGCCGTCCGCGTTGCCTCGGTTACGCCGCCCCCGCCTGAACCCACAGCTAGCGGTGCGGCGCCTTGTGGGTCCATGTTTGCTTCGGCGGTTGTGCCCGCGTGTTGGGCACGCGGGGGCACTGAGGGGGGGAGGGCGGTTCTGCGGAAGCGTCCTCCCGGGACTTCCGGCGCTTCCCTCTTGTGGGCGCTCCTTTTTCCTCGCGGGGTTTTCTTTGGTGCGACCTAACGGGGCTCTGCGCATATAAACCGTTTCAAGGACATCATGCGTTGCATTGCCTTTCCCCTGCTTCTGTGATGGTGAGTGGCGCCTCCTTTTTCCTGCATTGGAGCTTCGGCTGTGAGGGGCGCGTCGTCCCGTTAGCGTTTGGGAAGATTTGGTGGTGCTCTATCGGGGTCTTCCAGCATTATTGCAACAACGTTTCGATAGTGAGAGGTTCTGTGTTTCACACCTGGGGGGCTTGGTTTATCACTGATCAGCTTTTCTGCTGCTTTGTTCAGTCCGTCAGGGTGCTTATATTTGATATGAGCATTAATTACTCCACCATTGCTGTCGATATACGCGCCCAAGGGGTGACAGGGCTAACGCTGCGTCCAAGCATGATGTGGCTTGCCCCGGCGCTATGCGATGCCGTAAGCACGGCGGCACAAAGTTCGCCACTTGCAGAACCTTCTTGGCACCAGGCTTCCCTCGGCAACACGGGGTTCACTTAACCCTGGCAGTGCGACGAGGTGGCCGGCATGACCAGAAAAGGTAAAGAATCTTTTCTAAGGCGGTTAGTCTGTCAAGGTGTTTGGCCTTAACGGGTGCGCGTATGCTCACCATTTCGGGGATATGTGCCCCGCTAATAATGCACTTAATTTTGGTTAGCTTTCACTTCCTCTGGAACAATGAGTCATGTCTCAAAAGAACACAGACAGCTTCTCAGGAAACTATCAGGCAAGGAGATGCCTGTCCAG